ATCTTACTCAGAGGCAATTATGAGCAGTTTGAGAAAACCAAAACGGAAAAACTTAAATCACAGCGCCGAGAATACGAGGCGCAACTGGCACACAGGGCACATGTTCAGGAATTTATTGATCGCTTTCGCTACAACGCAAACCGTGCCTCATCGGTGCAGTCCAAAATCAAGATGTTAGAGAAGCTGTAGGTAAAACGAGAGCTTTAGCTGAAGCTGATTTAACTCATATTTTGCTTTGCTCGCCAGACCTGAGCTCAAGCCAGTGGAAAAGGAGACAATTGTAACGCTCAAATTTCCCGATGTGGAGCCGCTTAATCCGCCCGTGCTGGCCATCTCAGATGTCTCGTTTCGTTACAACCCCACTGATCCGTTGCCCATTTTTAAGGGTGTTAATCTATCAGCCACCTCGGATTCGCGTATTTGCATTGTGGGCGAGAATGGAGCGGGCAAATCGACTCTTCTTAAGATTATTGTGGGCCAACTGAGCACCATCTACGGCAACATAGTGCTCCATCGCGGCCTGCGCATTGGCTACTTTGCCCAGCATCATGTTGACCACTTGAATATGAATGTCACCTGTGTGGGTGTCCTAGCGGAACTGTTCCCTGGACGCCCTGATGAGGAGTACAGACGTCAGTTGGGAAGCTTTGGTCTTTCGGGACCACTGGCTCTGCAGAGCATTGCCAGCTTGTCTGGTGGACAAAAATCACGTGTGGCCTTAGCAAAAATGTGCATGGGTATGTATCAAAATTTTCCAATGCAATAACGCGTATTCTATTATGTTCGCTCTCTTAAATAGCGGAACCAAACTTCCTAGTGCTTGATGAGCCGACGAATCATTTGGACATTGAAACTATAGATGCACTGGGCAAAGCTATAAATGCATTTAAGGTATACCCAAAACTTTTATTAACGCTCCTAAGGCTAATTTAGTTATGTTATTTTAGGGCGGCGTCATTTTGGTCTCTCACGACGAACGATTAATTAAAGTCGTCTGCAAGGAGTTGTGGGTCTGCGGGAATCGGACAGTGCGAGCTATAGAAGGCGGCCTGGATGAATATAAACGTGAGGTATACAAGGAAATCGAAGCTAATAGCTGAATATTATTTATTTTACAAAAGATTGCGTGAAAAAATGTAGCAATAAATTTGTAGTTTGTCAGAGATATTTAAAAAAAGATTTAATATAGAAAATACCAACAAAATATAGTTTGTTAAACTAACGAATAGGTTTAGTAGATAAGACTACATTTTGACATCAGAAGATTTGAATTGTTGTGTACAACTCGCCAGCAGTATAAATAAGGCTGCCCATCGAAGCTCTGTCTCAGTTGAAGCTGCAATGCCGCGCTGTACAGATCGTATTATTGTGTATGTGTGTGTTTGTCTAAGAATGTTAATGCAGACCATGCATGAGTGCTGGCAAGAAGAAGAACCAACAGTATAAATACGGCTGCACATCGAAGTTTGGTTTCAGTTGAAGTTTGGTTTGAGTTGCGAAGCAGCCCTATGCAGATGGTGTTAAATTGTGTTTGTGCTAAAATATAAAATGCAGATCATGTGTGTAAACTTGCAAGAAGTTAACCAGCAGTATAAATACGGCTGACCATCGAAGCTAGGTCTCAGTTGAGGCTGCGAGGCGACCCTATGCAGACGGTGTTAAAATGTGAATTAATAAGAAAATATAAAATGCAGATCATGTGTGTAAACTAGCAAGAGGAAGAGCCTGCAGTATAAATAAGGCTGCACATCGAAGCTGGGCCTCAGTTAAAGCTGCGAGGCGGCCCTATGCAGACGGTGTTAAAATGTGAATTTGTATGAAAATATAAAATGCAGATAATGCATGTGAACTAGCAAGAGGAAGAGCCTTCAGTATAAATAAGGCTGCACATCAAAGCTGTGCCACAGTTGAAGCTGCGAAGCAGCCCTATGCGTACCGTGTTAAAATGTGTATTTGTATGAAAATATAAAATGCAGATCATGTATGTAAACTAGCAAGAGGAAGAGACAGCAGTATAAATAAAGCTGCACATCAAAGCTGTGCCACAGTTGAAGATGGGAAGCAGCCCTATGCAGACGGTGTTAAAATGTGATTGTGCTAAAGTATAAAATGCAGATCTTGTGTGTTAACTTGCAAGTAGACCCAGCAGTATAAATATGGCTGACCATCGAAGCTAGGTCTCAGTTGAGGCTGCGAGGCGGCCCTATGCAGACGGTGTTAAAATGTGAATTAATAAGAAAATATAAAATGCAGATCATGTTTGTAAACTAGCAAGAGGAAGAGCCTACAGTATAAATAAGGCTGCACATCAAAGCTGGGCCTCAGTTAAAGCTGCGAGGCGGCCCTATGAAGACGGTGTTAAAATGTGAATTTGTATAAAAATATAAAATGCAGATAATGCATGTAAACTAGCAAGAGGAAGAGCCTTCAGTATAAATAAGGCTGCACATCAAAGCTGTGCCACAGTTGAAGCTGCGAGGCGGCCCTATGTGGACGGTGTTAAAATGTGAATTTGTATGAAAATATAAAATGCAGATAATGCATGTAAACTAGCAAGAGGAAGAGCCTTCAGTATAAATAAGGCTGCACATCAAAGCTGTGCCACAGTTGAAGCTGGGAAGCAGCCCTATGCAGACGGTGTTAAAATGTGAATTTGTATGAAAATATAAAATGCAGATCATGTATGTAAACTAGCAAGAGGAAGAGCCTACAGTATAAATAAAGCTGCCCGTTGAAGCTGTGTCTCAGTTAAAGCTGCGAAGCAGCCCTGTGTAGACGGTGTTAAATTGTGTTTGTGATAAAATATAAAATGCAGATCATGTATGTAAACTAGCAAGAGGAAGAGCCTGCAGTATAAATAAGGCTGCACATCAAAGCTGGGCCTCAGTTAAAGCTGCGAGGCGGCCCTGTGCAGATGATGTTAAAATGTGAATGTGTGTGAAAATATAAAATGAAGATCATGTATGTAAACTAGCAAGAGAAAGAGATGGTGTTAAAAAGTAATTTTTTTCTTGTGATTAAATAAAAATATAAAATGCAGATCATGTGTGTTAAAGGCCCAGCAGTATAAATAAAGTTGCACATCGAAGCCGACACATAGTTGAAGCTGCGAGGCAGACAATGTGAATTTGCTTGTGATTTGTATAAAATTTCTTAAGCTTAAGGATAATCCAATAGTATAAAAATTTTTGGGCACGAAAATGCCGCTTCATTTACACTTGCAGGGACTATATGGTGAGTAAACAAAATTTATTTACTTATATTCTATCAATTTCTGCTTGCATATATAGTTGATATAAACAGAAAAACCCGGCGTTGCCGGGTCTAACCCATGACGGTACCCAACCAATTTTCAGAATATGACTATATATATATAGATTACATTGAATAATCTTTGTATCAATAAGTTTTATTTGTCAGCTTTTTGCGTAGCTCGAAAAGTATTAATGTGAGTGCAGAAACCACGTTTAAACTATCAATGCCTGCCGCCAGAGGTATGTAGACACACTTGCCTCTACTGCCCACCAGTTGCATAAATCTAAGAGATAAAATAGTTTAGTTGTTGCTATTGGAAAGTTCTAAATGTATATTTACTTGTAAGCATCCTCGCTAACACCATGACTCTCGCCGCCAATAATGAGAATATTGTGTACTCCAGTCTGACCCAGTTCTGCATAGTCTACTGTGTTTCCTGCCAGATTTCCTGGCTTTTTCGGGTTGTTTTCTGCAATGAAAACATGACAATCATCGGCTACCTCGGGCGGTATGTGGAGTGGCAGCTGCTCCCAGGTGACATCATCGCGTATGGGCAAACGGAACTGTCCGCCACAGCCGCCGCGCAAAGCCTTCGACTCCCAGGGATCACAGCAGCCGTGCGTGACTACCACCTGGCTGCAGGGCAAAGCAGCACATGTGCGTATAATGCTGCCCAGATTGTTTGGCTCTCGTATGTTGTCGCATACTACTGTAATGGGCAAGGGCTCACTGCCCAGTTGCTGCTGCTGTATACCGTGCGACGAGGGGCGTTCAAACAGTGCCATCAATCCGGGTGGCGTTACCAGCGAAGACCATGTTTTCAGATCATGTTGTGGCACTTTGTAAATTTTTGTGTTGTCCTCCTGCTGTGCTTGCGCCACCAGTTCACGCAACAAGGCCAACTGATCCCTTTGGCTAAAGAATAACGAATGCATTTTCAGACGGCATTGCAAGGCTTCCTCTATAAGACGTCGGCCTTCGATAATTATCTGTTTGTTGTTGTCACGACGTTTGCGTGAACGCACTTCAGTAAGTAACGTGCTCATCAGTGGGTCCTGTGGGAATTGTTAAAACTTTAGATGTATAAAGAAAAGATATTACTTCCATTCTACCTGCAAAGTTAGTCGAGTAAACTCCAAATTCAATTCGCTGTCTTTTATAAGCGGCGCAGGTGCACGCTTAACTGTGGGTGTTGGAACGGTTCTGGGCAGGGCCGGTGTCGCTGTCGTACTCCCAGTTACTGACTTTTTTTGTGACGCTGGCCTTTGTTTAATAAATGTTGGTTTGTGCTTGCGTAAAGCTTCCCGCGTGTTCACTGGCTGATGCTGCAGCAATGAGTTTTCGAACAGATTCGCCTCAATGTCCAGGGCGTCCTTGATTTCATCATTGTGGCCACTAGAGCTGCCGCTGCTGAGGCGCACCAAATAATAATTATTTACATTCTTAATACTTGCTTGAACGGTTCTTTTAATAACATTATAAAACATCTTTGGAAAATTGTTGCCGGTATAACCATATGTTAAATCGATAACAATATCGATAGCGGCTAGTAGTGATGTGCATTTTAATGTACCATGCGATTAGCACAACTTTAATAATAGTATAAGATGCTTTTAAAATAGTTCTCTTACATTCACATGATCTACAAATTTAGTATATATATGTCAAAATATTACCACAAGAAAAAGCAACATATTATAGATATTTATTTAGTCTAGGCATATGATAAACGTATTTTCCAGATTGGAAATGTCGTGACTCGCGTGTTATAGAATCATGTAAACTTTTCGCCCTAGTGGCAACGTTCAACAAGTGTGTTTTAGTGAGAAAGCTGACACCTCTAGTTATCACGAATATTGCATAAAGTTCCACAACTCCGATAGAATTTCCAATTTAAGTCTCATTTAAAGCCGGTTTGGAATTAGAATAGCTTTATCTGCTTGTAGAAACAATATGTTAACTAAGTCAGTGCTAATTGCCGCCTTGGGCCAGCGCGCACCCAATTGGCTAATGAAACGCACTTTCAGCAACACGCAAATCTTCAGGCAAGCTATTAAAAATCATCAGCCAAATGATTTGGAGAGGCGATTCTTGGTTTGGAGTGGTAAATACAAGACAACAGCTGATGTGCCAAGCTTTGTAAGGTATGTAAATTAAAGGTATATAATCTAGTTAAATTGTTAATAGTATATTTTCATTTGTCACAGCCAGGAGGTAATGGAGCGCTGTCGCAACAAGATGCGCATTATGTTGGCAAATGTAATGATTGGTCTAACCGTTATCGGATGTGGTATTATGATTTACAGTGGAAAGCAAGCAGCAAAGCGTGGTGAATCTGTGACCAAACAGAATCTGGAATGGCACAAGCAGTTTAATGAGACAGCCACCACTGGCACTGGAGCAGCTGAAACCAAATAATCATCACAAACTACCAGAACAGCAAAGTAGATCGTTTAATTAATCCAATTGTAAACTGTAAACATTGGTATATTGAAATATTTTCGATATTTTCAATGTTCATTGTTGCAGTGCCAATTGCTGCAGTAGCCTTAAATTTTAATTGAAACAGTGATATTTTTTGAACTCATGCTAGAAGTTTTTATCCTTATTGTTCGATCAAATTGCCAACTGTTAATTGTAGCACAGACTGCACTGAAATAAATATTTACTCAAAGCAGATCATGTAATTAATGTTATTGTAAACTGTAAGCTTTGGAGTATTGAATTATTTTCGCATTTTTCAATATCAATATCATTTTTTGAACTCATGCTAATAGTTGTTATTCACAGTGTTTGATCAAATCGCAAAACCATTAATTGTAGCGCACACTGGACTCAAATAAATATTTACTCAAGTTTTATTATATGAAGCTATATGCCTTGAGGAATACAAACAAATATAAATTCACATATCAATTTTTAAAAATATTAAAACGAATTCAAATATAAATTTAATTCAATTTTGTCCCTGCAACAAAGCTTCGAATGTACATGAATATATTATTTAGATGTCAGATATTTGGAATAACCCATGGGTTAATCTAATGTCTATAGCTTTTACTGTCCACTGGATTAAGGTTAAAAAAAGTGCAAAGTGCAATTATAAGATATTTTATAATGAGCACGCTTTTGTTTGGATTATTTGCGTTGCGATCCATTGTATAGCAGCAGAAACATCAACAGTGACCACCACTTGCGCCAGGAGGGAATGCGCCTGCGCGGAGAGAGAGAGAGCGCGTCCCGGATTGCCAGTCGAAGAGAGCGAAGTGGATTTACACATGGCCAGCAGGCGACTACGTAGGAGACGCAGATGGGTGCAGCAGCAACCCTGCCGCTCTTCGGCTGCTGCTGCTGCTGCGCGCTTTTCACTTTCCGTTCTTTCAGTTTGTCGAGAACGTTTGAACGCATCGGGACTTTGGAAATCGTGCGTGCAGGAAAAGCTAAGCAAAGAAACAAGAGAAAAAATATTATTCCAAATTGCAAGCAAACGCTGAAAAAGAAATGTGCAAAATATAGTGTAAAAATAAAAGCCAGAAGCGTTAGGCAAAAATGTGCGGGCAGCGTGAAAAAAGCTAAAACGAGAGCAAGTGTAAAAATGTAAACTACACACGCACAACGCTTACACATAAAATACATGAATGTAAGTGTAAGTGCCTGGTTGTAAACGCATGAGTGTGTATGTCTGTGTGTGTTTGTCATACCAATGACCACAGACACTACAAAGGCAACAATAACAAAAGCTTACTGAAATATTAATAAACTAATTGTTTAATCAAACAGATTGATGCGGAAAATCCATAATAAAAAGAATATTAGACGCGCTATTTGTGCGTCTCTCTGTATGTGTGAGCGATTTTTTTCTTTCAAAAAGCAACTGTGTGTGTGTGTGTGTGGGTGGGTTAGATTGTGTATGGATGTGCGTTTGTGTGTGTAGCAACATTCGTATGCTTTTTTGATTTGTGAAAATGTGTGTATCCGCGCGAATGTTGTTGTTGCACGACGAGACGACAGTGTCAGTCGCCTCGTGTAGGAACACCTACACAAACAAAAAAAAAAAGGAAAATGGAATACAAAAATGTCCTTGCACAAAAATCATGTTGATAATAATAAATGTGTAATATCTCATTGGAATTACGCCCCGTTGCGTGCAAGATAATAATAAAAACAACACAAACATGTTGCTGGCCCAATTTACGTGCACCCGCTTTTAATTTTAATGTGCATCAGTCAGGAGCCGCAACTGCAGCTGCAGCAGCAGCAACAACAGAAAGTCATTCAACGGAAACTAACGGTGACGGCCGCGGCGGCTGTTTTGCGCTCTCTGTGTGTGAAAGTGAAGGTCGTCTGTAGGAGAGAAAGAGCGCACAGTATCACTAGCAGCAGCAGCAGTAGCAGTAAGCAGCAGCAGCAGCAGCAGCAAAGTCCAAACAGTCCATTTGCTGGCGCAAATGTGCGAAAAATCCTTGGCTTGGTTTTTGGCGCAACAACAAAGCCACATTAATACTCATACACGCATCAACATTCACACACACACACGCATATATACACTTGCAGATATATAGCTTGGCATAACTCTTTGTATGCACGTGTCAGTGCCGTTGTGTGTACTTGAGTGTGTGTGTGTGTGCGCGTGTTTATGACGCGCTTGATGCACAGCAGCTGCTACTGCGGCCATCCTGCATTTGTGTTTGTTACTTATTGTTGCTTTTGTATTATCAGCACAGATCCAAATCCCTTGCAAGCTTTAAATTCTGCCTTGGTTTAGTGGTTTTGCGCTAGTTTTCAAGGATTTTCGAGATTTGACTCAGAGTGTTCTTATCAAACTTGAAGCTTGGGCATGTGGATACTTCTATGAATATAGAGAATAGAATATTAGACAATGGGAGATAGATAATTATAGATAATTAATTTAATTTAAGCGTGAGAATCAATCTATTTGTACAGTATGTTTTTTTTTCGAACTTTTCTATATTTCATAAATATATCGCAATTGGGTTCGTTTGAAGTTCAAATGTTTACAAATAATTGCGGTTGAAAGTTCTTGCACAGCCTTGATAACTATTTGTTTAAAATAGATTATTTATGCATATTAAAAATGATTCATTAGTTCAGAAATATTTTGTTATTAGTGAATATTCGACTGTTATATCTGCAATGCACTAATAAACCATAGTAAATATTTATTTTGTTACTACTTACATAAGCTGCTTTTTGAATTAGCGATATTTCTTCTTATTATTTAAAATAAGTTTGTATCTTATATTTATTTATTTATTTATTTATTCCTGAACATTCCCAAATCGCTTTATTAAATTGATATCCTCTTACATAAGCTTCGTCAAATATTTATTAGCGATATATAGATATATATATATATATTTGTATTTTTAAGTGATTTTGATTGTTCTAATGGCTCTTGAAAATGATAAGTTTAATATTTATTGTTTCTCAAATCGTTTCAATCAATGCTACTTCGGCAGCCCTGGCATACACATCGCATACATACAACCCCCACAGCTATATGTGAGATTATTTGCAGATATAATCACATTTCACGCTTGAAAGGCTTGGCGGGCCTACATAAATTACGCCATTGCCATTGCCTTCGAGTACCCTGCGTCTCCACACATCCTGCATATTATCCGAGTTGGGGTCACTTGCACGTTCTTGTTTCGGTTACGTTTCGCCCCTCGTCCCGCTGCTGTGTTCGGGCGCCTTGTCCTCAGTGGCGCGTTAAATGCGACCGAAAAGTTTTTCGGGATTGCTGATGCGTTCCACTGATAAGCAAGCACAACTCTCTCTAAAGTCGTTTCGCATTTTATGAGTTTCGCAATTAGTTTGAATGGCATCTAGTTTATTCTGAAAGCCAATAGCTTGCACATGACCCGGGGACATGGCTGGCCTTGCCCAGCTGTAGAATTTATCATTTGATTGTCGAATGTGTGCAGGCAATTTAAATAATAAATTAGCTTTCGCTTTCAATCGCATGCTGGGCTTTGTTTTGCACACCATGGCGTATACTTAATATGCTAAATTAATAATAAGCATACGCATCGTTGACCAGGAATCATGCAGACTTGAAAGTGCCTTCTAAATTGAATCAAATTAGATAGTTTTATGCAAAACAAACAATGAAAACTATTTTATTTATGATGAATTTCTATTTATATTTCTTCTTAAATTACATTAAACTCCAAATTGAATTGAAAATCAAATAATATTTTATTCACATTTAATGTGATTAGTTCTAATTTGGTTTTTATAATTTATTAAACATCTTTGTGCCATCAATCAATCCTCTTTAATGGTTGTTTATTAAGTTTGGCCCATCAATTTACTTAGAATTGTCGTTTGGTGCTGTTATAAATGATAAATCAACATTGTGAGAATCGTCAACGTGTAAAGTTTTTCAATATTCTCACAGTTACTTAACAAGAGCCTCATATTACACGAAAGAAACCCATCGTCCATTGAGTTGGTGGGCGGCTGGGGAGATGGATACATAAGCGTCTCTTAAGCAGCCCGGACGCAAAATTATAAAATGCTCATAAGTCGCAGAGACAGCCACAGCAAAACGTTCTTAATGTTGAGCCGACGCCAACAACGACGACGAAGTCGACCCAAAAAAAAAAAAAAATAAATAATGAATAAAAAAATGAAATAAAATAAATGTAAAAAATACCGCCTAGCGACCCAAACCCAAGAAATTTAACCACCCACATCCAAAATCCCCCCTGGGGCCTCTGGGCAGGCGCAGACTTGGCTCTTCTCTCGTTTTGGCTGCTCTCTGGTCTGTTCCTGCATTTGGAAATTTTCTTTTCAATAGTTTGGTTTTCTAATGCCGCCAACGCAGACCCCAAAAAAATTAAAACATACAAAACTTGCTTGTAAACAAAATCCAGTAAAGGCAAAGCAACAACAAGAAACGGACATCTACGGGGGATGCTAGTGTTTGTGTGTATGTGTGTTTGTGTGTTTGTATGTACTTTTGTGTGTTGTTATTGTTTAAATATAGCACACAACTAAATGTAAACATTGTTAACGTATTGTCCATAAAAACACAAAATGAAAATGCACAGACATAAAAATGCGTTTATGATCCGAAAGCATCTTGAGTTTCCCTGCAATGTCCCATATATTTTTTTTTAATGTTATGCGAATTTGGCGGTTCCGGCGGTCGAAACTAGGAAATTGCGGCCGCAAGGGAGCGTGCGTGAGAGTAAGAGCGGCAAATTTACACAAGAAGCGCGAGAGAAAGAGAGGGCTAGAGAGAGCGAGAAGGAAATGAGAAAACGTTAGTCGTGAGGCGAAAGTCAACTCATAATAAGGCTCGTAATTGGGTCCCTCGCAAAAAATGCACAGGATTTCCGTAGATTTTACGTGTATTTCATCCATTAACCAACAAGAGCTGCGTGGTGAGGAAGGTCTTTGGTTCAGTTCTCAACAATAAACAAAATTACAAAAAAACGGCGTGCAGAAAAGTAACACGAATTTGTGAAAATACTAAAGCAATTGAAAAGGTTGCAACGAATTGTGAATGCACTATTTGTATGTAAGTACATAATATATATTTATGTACCAATAATTAATCAGAACATTGAATATTGTTTACAAATATTTCAGTAGTAAAAATATGTTCTTAAATACTTGATTGTTGCCTTTTTTTTTTAAGCACATAAACATTGGAATGTCTGGGATTTATGGATTTATGGGATTTACTCGTATACGTATAAACATACTGTGCCTGTTTTGACGTTTCTCATTAAAAGTCGAATAAATGAAATTCCTGGTGTTTATGAAAGTATTAAAAAAATGTTATAAAAAGCAAATAATGCGCATTTCAAGCTGACTGAAAAGTCAAAACAATTGCATTAAAATTACGATTTTAATTTTTGAAGAGAAAGTAATTACTTAGCTCGAGGTCTACTGTATAATTCATTTCAATGTGGAAAAACATGAACACGAATATTTGGCTAATAATTGAATGTTGTTTTCTGAATAATTTGTTGCTAAACTTCAAATGAACATTACTCGTAATTTGACTTTTTGATTTGAAATAATTAAGATTCTGATTGGCATCAAATATTTAATAATCACACTCATTGTTTATTTCTTTACTTTTCTATTTGCATTTGTATTTTGAAGCTGGTGAGTGAAATGTTTATGTTATATGTGCCCATCACAAGGCTCAGGAACAAGTCAATTACCCCCAACAATATTATTTTTTGCAAGGGCAACTGACAAACAACTGAAAGACAAATTGTATACAATGTTGTTTTATGGGCCTGCGCTGTGAATGGATGAATGTGCAGCAATATAAAACTTTTGGTCATTGTTGTTGTTGTTGTTGTCGCTGCACTCTGCGTTAAGATAACGCCAATTACCATAACCTTGAGACGCACTGCCAGATAGAGAAAATAAATGTATTATGTCAACTTAAGTAACAACAAATAATTAGGCGCCGCCTAACAAAAATAGGGCCCAACGAGATTTGGCTAAAATAAGCTACGCAAATAATTAATGAAGCCCGCAAAATAAGGACATGTGGCGCCTTTGTTTAGGTAACGGAAGTGCCTCCGCCCTCTTGCCCCTTGCCCCTTGTCCACTGCCTCCATATTAGGTGTTGTTTGGGCTGCTGGGACTGTTTTTCCAGCCATTTGATGTTTGACAATTTATTTTGATGGCGCACAACACGCACACGTCAATTCTGGTTGTTGTTTTTGTTGTTGTCGATTCATGTGGTTCTGGTTGTTGTTGTTGTTGTTGTTGGTGTCGACCTAGGCGCCCAGTCAGCGACGTCAGCAAGGCGACGTCAAGTCAACATCAATGAAAGAGCAAAGCAAACGGCATTGATTAATTTCCATTTGGGCACAGTAACCGACAGCAAGGTCGACCTATGCCAGCAAAATTGTTGATAGGATAATGCGGCATTAAAACATTAAGGGCCGACACGGCGGCTGCCACTGACAAACGTTGCCTGATCCGAGGCGAAGGAGCAGCCATCCGCCCACGCCCACGCCCTGATTGTCCTGATTGAAGCGTTGAGGTAACGAGCCAAAGCAGAAGTGTGTGTACAGAACTGTCGAGTCTATCAGTCGATGAGTCTGTCCATTGTTTGAAGTGTGTGCCAGCTTACGTATTTAAGTGTCTGTGTGTGTTGGTGTGCATGTGTGTGTGTATGGGTGTGAGTGGCTGTTTTTTGATAAGCAGGTGGCGACTAGACACTTTGAGCTGCTGACATCCCATTATGTAAACTATAAAATGCAATTACTTTATTAGATTATCCCAAAGTACATCGTTTCAGAAAAGTCAAGCCAGTTTTCTAAGTACATATAGTGGCGTACTCTGCCCAGCTTATCTTGTGCTGGTGCATTTATGCCCCAAGCGCATCAGTCCACGGTCCTATGGGCAAGAATTAGAACAAAGTGCCGTCGATATTTAATTTTTGAGTGACCCACAGAAATTGAAATCAGACTAAATTTTCAATTTCGTAAAGTAAATTATTTTCTTAAAGTTAATAAATAGATATCTATTGATGTCAAATGCTTGCTTCCTTGCAAATTCAAAAATTAGTTGGGAAAGGTTTTAATGGTAACCTATTACAATATTACATTCAGAATCAAATACACTTATGAACCAAAACCACACTTGAATAATATTTTTATTTTATAGTTCTAAAGTGTTCCAACCCATCTGACCCTGACAAATTTACTGCCTGTAGTAAAAACAGTTTTCATACAAAGTCAAAGCTATATTTCCGCATCTGCTGATCAAGAGTATATATAATTTATGTTATTACAATTGTCTCTTTCCATGTGTTATATATTTCATGGCAAATGTATAACAGCAAGTTTTCGATCAATTTTATTCAGCACAAAAGATGTGTATATTTGATTTCAAAAAGCTGAAAGATTTGCAAGGAAAAAAACAGACCTGATCGGGTAGCCAAGTATTATATTATATCTTTTAATTGTATACCCCAAGAAAGACACATCCGCCTCATATGCTATACTTTCTACAGTTCGGCATTATATTTGCTTCGATTCGCATATTGATTTCGGTGGCATATTTTCGTTCCGCCAGTTCCGACCTTGGCATCTTAATATTTCGTATGGAATAACAAATATTTGAATATTGAAAACCGAGAAACTTGCGTAAGCCTTTGGCTATAAACGGCTTTCTAACGACCATCAAACAACAAATAACTTCTAATGGCTCTTGTTACGGCAGCACCACGCACCTAAGACATAAAGTCCCCAACTCTTTACAATAATATTCATAATCCATTTGACGGCGCCCATAAATATGCAAACTCTTTCTGCCCTATATATGTATGTATATATATATATATATATATTACAGTGCATATCGACCCGTCATCTATTAAATGCTAACAACTATCGTGCCAGTCATGCTCGTAAATATTATATAAATCAAAGAAACACATTATGTAGACTTCAAGAGCACGCCAGAAATGTGACATTTATGGAAACAAATGACTCTTTGTCAACTGGCTAAAGACAAATGCGATAGAATAGGAGGGAACGCAGGCGGGTTGGCAAATGACACTTAATGCTAGCGCAAAGATGTTTGGCGTTTTAATTGTAGTTGCAAAATGACTTTGGGACCGTTTCGGGGTGTTAACTGTGTAGAAATGCACATAAATTTTTGGATACGAAATGCGGCGAGCACCATCAAACCATCAAACCACCGAACCATCAAACACCACCCACACAAGGCATCCATTCACAAACGCCAACGCGCTCAGACAGATGGGAAGTCAGTCGGTCGATGGGTCGATTGGTCGTTCCGTCCGTCTGTCTGTCGGGGAAAGTACAACAGACTCATTAAAATCGCACAAAGTTTGGCGAGTACTCGCATTTGTATCTGTATCTCTATCTGTAATACATATGTATTTGTATCTATGTCAATAACAATATCTGTATCTGTATCAGTATCTGTACTTGGCCAGCTGGAGGCGTTCTTCTGTGCGGCTCGTTTAAATATTTAGATAAAACTTTGTTATTGAAATTCTGCATTTGGTCCATTGAATCATTATTAGAAAGAGGTGAAAAATCGAGCTCTGCTAGAAATAAATAAACCAAACAAGTTCTTGAAAGTCTACAAGTTTTATGATAAGAATTATACGATTTACAACCGGAAATTCCAAAAGCTCAGACCAGAAATGTGCTTGTGGTATTTCATAAAATTTTATTGTATACGCAGAGGCGCCATCTATTGTTGAGCATGTGCTCATTGTTTATGGAAAATTTCAAACAATTCCATCAACTGAAGGGAGTCTTTGAGAATTTTTAATGTGCTCTCGAGATGGTGTCATAAAAATCTTAAATGTTTAGGAATTTAACACTCAACTGGTATTTATTATAGCCAAATCGCAACATAAGTGGAATAAAGCTAAAAATATATGTTTACAATCCACAATTATTGCTCGCAAAAATGTTGTAGAAAAATGTAAACAAATCTTTCAGGTAGCAGCTGAAGGTATTGAAGGATGATAATGTGAAATAAACTAATGTCGTATACTCTTTTTTATATACCCCAAACCATTAAAAATGTCTAAAAAGGGTATACTATTTTTGTGCAAATGTATTTAAGAGGCAGAAGGAAGCATCTCCGGCGCAATAAAGTATATATATTCTTGATCAGCATCAATAGCCGAGTCGATATAGCCATGTCCGTCTCTCCTTTCCGTCCGTCCGTATGTATGAACGCAAGGATCTCAGATCCTAAAAGAGCCAAAGATTTGAAATTTGAACGCAGGGTCTGCGCAGTAGGAGTTGTGTTGCCGATACTCGATAACTTGCCTCGTTTCCAAGCAATCGATAAAAGTCGATAATGAAATCCCGTTTCCGAGCAAATCCTCTTGGTTTCAATGGCTAGAGACCCCAAAGGTGACATGTAGCTTCTAAAATAGTATATATTCATCATGTATCTTTCATGTCCTCCCCTCCCCTTTCGCAATCTACATTTGTGGTGGGTAGACGAAGGTTCAGGGTATCTCCTAGTCGGGCTTACCTCTTACTTCTTACTTCTTTCTTATTGTTTCTTTGCTCCATTCTAACTGGAAAAGATATTAGAAATATTAATAATTTATTTTAAAGACATGTTTTTAGTTTATAATATACTAATATGCTCTTTATCACTTTGTAAGCAGAGTATAATGGAACGTTTTCTTCTCTTCTAATTCTTTATTTACACACATATTTGACAATCTAGTATGTATCTTTACACAGCTCTTGTTGTTTATTTGTAGTCATTGCTTCGCTTTAGTTGCTGGCAGTTCTATAAATATTTTGCTTATGCATTTACTGAAAAACAAGCATTAAAATTACATTTTGTTTATATCGTGTCGCATTCCCATTTGCCTCACTCTGCGTGGGCAGGCATTTTAAACTCTGCAGTGTGTGTTTGTGTGTGATTGTGTGTGCCAGTGTGTGGCAGTGTGTGATTGTGTGTGCCAGTGTGTGTGGGTTGCCCAAAACTAAATGAGTTTGTGGCTTTTCGCTCTTACTTTTCTGATTTGCTTTCTTTTCTACACTCTTCCATAAATTGCATTAGTGCAGCGCATAGAAACATAAAATTTTCCATATCCCGGCGTGAACAATAAAGCGAAAATGACAGCAATACGTTTAAGCAATAAAGAAATGCGTGGCAAGCAGCTGCAAATGGCAACAAGACAACAATAATAAAGCAACATGTAAAGCATATACAAGAAAACTAAAAGAAAACCAAAAACGCAATACAAAATAAATAAGCCTAACAGGAAGCAAGCTGCCGTTAAGCGTGAAAGCTTTAACTAGAACTAAGTCCACGTGAGCCAAATTAAAAATATAGCTAGATAACGCTTCGCTAGTGTGCAGCGAGAGAGAGAGAGTGGGAGAGAGAGAAGCCTCAATTGACCGCCGAATACCTCGAAATCGCCCCCGTCCCACCCCGGTACCGTCTTGGGACACTGAAACATTCCACCACACAGTATGGCCTCGGTCGCCGCTTGGCTGCCCTTTGCACGGGCGGCGGCCATCGGTTGGGTGCCGATAGCTACGCATCCATTGCCACCGCCTCCGATGCCGAAAGATCGTCGCAAAACGGACGATGAGAAGCTACTGATAAATGTGTCCGGCAGACGGTTCGAGACCTGGCGCAATACGCTTGAGAAATATCCGGACACGCTGCTGGGCTCAAATGAGCGTGAGTTTTTCTACGATGAAGATTGCAAAGAGTATTTCTTTGATCGGGATCCGGACATATTTCGACACATACTCAACTATTATCGCACCGGGAAATTGCATTATCCGAAACACGAATGCCTCACCAGCTACGACGAGGAGTTGGCCTTCTTTGGCATCCTGCCGGATGTCATTGGTGACTGCTGCTATGAGGATTATCGCGATCGCAAGCGCGAGAACGCCGAACGCCTCATGGACGACAAGCTGTCGGAGAATGGCGATCAGAATCTGCAGCAGCTAACCAATATACGCCAGAAGATGTGGCGTGCCTTTGAGAATCCGCACACATCGACCAGTGCGCTGGTCTTTTACTATGTGACCGGCTTCTTCATAGCCGTCTCCGTGATGGCCAACGTGGTGGAGACGGTGCCCTGCGGCCATCGGCCCGGACGTGCCGGCACCCTGCCCTGCGGCGAACGCTACAAAATTGTGTTCTTCTGCCTGGACACCGCCTGTGTGATGATCTTCACCGCCGAGTATCTGCTGCGTCTGTTTGCGGCGCCCGATCGCTGCAAGTTTGTGCGCAGCGTCATGAGCATCATCGATGTGGTCGCCATTATGCCCTACTACATTGGCCTGGGCATCACGGACAACGATGATGTTAGCGGCGCCTTCGTTACGTTGCGTGTGTTCCGCGTCTTTCGCATCTTCAAATTCTCCCGCCACTCGCAGGGTCTGCGCATCCTCGGCTATACGCTCAAGTCGTGCGCCAGTGAGCTGGGCTTCCTGGTCTTTTCGCTGGCCATGGCCATCATCATATTTGCCACGGTCATGTTCTATGCCGAGAAAAATGTAAATGGCACCAATTTCACATCGATACCGGCGGCCTTCTGGTACACAATTGTCACAATGACGACGTTGGGGTAAGTAGCTGCAATCTCTCACAGTTAAAGTAAAGTTAAAAATGCATTTATAATAATCATATTATTGTCAACTTCAATCTTAGCTATGGTGACATGGTGCCGGAGACAATAGCTGGCAAAATAGTCGGCGGGGTTTGTTCGCTCAGCGGAGTGCTGGTCATCGCCTTACCTGTACCTGTTATTGTATCGAACTTTAGTAGAATTTATCACCAGAACCAGCGTGCGGACAAGCGTAAAGCGCAGCGGGTATGCTATCAATAACTTCCACTCTCCGCATCTCTCTTTCTCTGTCTCTTACTAATATGCTGCGCTCTCTTTTGTGCACATGCAGAAAGCTCGGCTGGCGCGCATACGCATTGCGAAGGCTTCATCGGGAGCGGCATTCGTTAATAAGAAGAAGGCGGCGGAGGCGCGCTGGGCAGCGCAGGAGTCGGGCATTGAGCTGGATGATAATTACAGGGATGAGGATATCTTTGAGCTGCAGCATCATCATCTGTTGCGGTGTCTCGAAAAGACAACGGTGCGTATACCCAATAAGACAAGCCTTATTTGCAGGACTCAATTATCAGGCCAACACGACGTGCGGTTTCTTGTCGACTTTTTGTTGTTTATATTCTTTGTCGTTTGTTTTTTATTTACATGTTGATTTATCAGACATCTTTGTTTCGTTTCTCTGTGTGTTTCTCTTTTCGACAGATGTAGCAACATTTGAACTTCTTTCTAGTAGCCAATAATTCTCACCTTTGCCTTGTGCTCGTTAGGCAAGCAATGACAAGCGACACAACAACTAGAACAGCAACAAATACAACAACAACAACAACAGCAAGAACAACAACAACAACAGTTCCACAACAGTTGCAACAGTGGCACAGTTCAGAAATCTTGTGCGTGCTCGTTGCAAAAAATAAAAAAAACTTCGTACATATACATACGCATACATGCATATAAATATAATAAAAAGAAGAACCTTCAGCATTTGTATTAATAATGATGATGTGCAAAATTACAATATTAATTATTATTTTGTACATTTGTATTCTATATAAATCGATATAAGTCTATTGATGTGATTTGTTTCATCTTAAGTTTAACGTTTACGTTCAAAGTTTGCCATTTGTGTCATGTTTCTTACATGTTGCATTGGGATTGGTTTACTTGAAGTTAACCAGCGAGCGTCCCCACAGCAAATTTCAAAATCAAGCAAAATATATATATCCATATATGTTTATGACTCCCTTCTATAAATATCGAAACTGAACGTAAATAAATTGTCTAAAAGTAAGTGCTTTCGGTTTGTACTTAAGTTCCGTTCTGCTCTTTCACTATCTCTTGTTCTATCTATCTCTCTCTATCTCTCTCTCTCTTTCTCTCATTTACGCGGTGCATTTTATTTTTACGTATTTGTTTTTTTTTTTTTGTTGTTGTTCGTTTTTAAAGCAGCAAACGATCTGTGTTGAAAGCTATGCGCTCTGTTCTATTTTAACTTAACATTATTTTTGTTGGTTCTTTTAATTGGTAATTATTGAATAATATCGAACAAAAAAAATAATGCTTGAAGAGGCTCCCAGCGAATGCTATAAAAAAGATCTGAAACAGCGCCACCCGCCACATGCAATCGTTGGCTGTCAACACTAAACCCAAACAAAAACTAAAACTAAATAAAAAGAACAGCATTAAAAAAACAATATTGAGAATTAAACAATTCGAAATCAAAGAGCGCCTACCAAATGGGGTAATTTATGCAAGATTTGCTTGTTGGATCTGTAAAATGATATTATGGAATTTATATGAGCATTTCCATTAAGAATTATATTCGATTTTTCGCAATTTGTATTTATAGTATTGATCGATAACTGGTTCCAATATGCTTTCTATTCGGTTTGCAATTAGTTCAAGTACGTTAACAATTAAGGTTTCAATCGATCAATTTTCAGCAAGGTTAGTTTTTCACATTGCTTAAATATAGATGAAGTATTTCAGACTCATGAGTTCACAGAACAAAATAGCTGATTCAAAATTTATTGCACTTGCATTTAACATTTGATCTGGTTGCAACAAAACTGAATCATTTCGCCATTCAAAAAGCATGTTAAAGTAGAACTAAATAGTAGAATACTCTTCTTATTATTATTTTTAATTCTTCATATAATCCAAATTGGTAGAAACGCAATTTAACGGCCGTCCCAGCGTATATTTCCGTAATACAAAATCGCATTGTTGAATCTGCTGTTCAGCCGAATTGCATCTAAGGATTCAGATTGCATCATTAACTTATCATATTAAATTTACAGATCTGAACTATTTGATGAGTGCTCAAAATCAATTAATAATCAAAGCTATAAACTGAAACTAACCGAATCGTAATTGACGCGCGCGTTTCGAACAGCTAGCTAAAATCGCACACAAAAGTCGCTCGCTCTCGCTTGCTTTGAAAAAATTCCCCTTCCTGCTGCCTAACGCTCGTTCTGCTGCGCTAAGCACTTGGCCCTCGCCCTGTTAAATCACTTGGCTGACTAACAAAACAGTTCTTATTGTGTTATTGTAAAATTGTCATTGCTTAGGTGCCGAAAATCAACATCCAGCCCCAGCCCCCGCCCCCGCCCCCGCCCCCCTTCCAACGACCATTCACTTTCAATGTACATTTTAAGCGTTCTAATGTTTGACAATTTTTCCCTAACCCACCCCAGCTTTAATGTTCTGATTGTTGTTTTGACTAAACCTCTATAAGTATTTATTATTATTACTAAATATATAATATCCAATCCTGTGTTTGTGTTTTGTGTGTGTGTGTGTATAACCTGGCTTAAGATCCTAACTCCTTTCTGTATATTTGTGTTGAATTGATAAAAAAAAAAGAAAAGAAAAAAGTAAAACCAAACATTGTACTCTATGTATTCTACGTTTCTCTTTGTAAAATTTTTCTGGTACTCACACTTAAATGCTCAAATCTAAAGGATCGTGAATTTGTCGAGTTAGAAATACCATTTAACGGCCAGCCAAAGCGACCGGGCTCGCCCTCGCCGATGGCTAGTCCCGCCCACTCGACAAACAGCGCTGCAGGTCTGTTGCAATCCTGTTGCGGACGCTGTTGTTCCCAGCGTTATCAGGTAAGACACCAACTGTATATACCCTCTATCTATTATATGTTGTGTTTGCAAGTGTGAATGTGTGCGTGCGTGCGTGCGTGTTTCTGTGTGTGTTTGTGTTTCAAGTGCAGGTGGGTGCTAAACTATTTTTCTACATTAAGTACTTAGTTGTTTGTTAATTTTGTTTGTGTGTTTATCATGTACACTTCAAATCCAACCAAACACATTTAAATTACGATTATATTATGGATAATGAGTTCTAGAGACAGCTCTTCAGCTGCTCCACCGCTCCGTTTGGATATGCAATGAAATTTTTGATTTTTGTTCGTCTGCCTCTTTTTTTTTTACAAAGTTTGGATTTCCAAAACAAAAACGTGGTATGCAAGTCGATTCCAGAGATCAGTGCGAGTTCAAAAAGGTATAACTTTCCAAAATCGGACCATTTTTAGCCGAATTATCGGAAAAAACGAAAAATCTTCAAAATTCTAACGGCATTTTACGCGTTTTTTAAATCGCTTTAATAAGCCCCGATCTTGGAAAGATTGGTCTCGTTCGACTCGTGGTCACAGCCATTTTCAGCCTACATCGTAATTTTTGCAAAAAACATAGTAGTTTTTCTTAAATTGGGCCATTTCTTAGAAATCAAAATTTTTTGGTGTGAATCGATAATCGGGATCCGTACGAGAAGAAAAATCATTCCGAAATCTAGTAACAAAAAAGAAACGAAATCCCAAATTTAAATTAATTTAAATTACGATTAAATATCCGCCTAAAAGCACGCCACACTTGTGCTAAAGTGTTGCCTGTTTTTGGGGTGTACGCAAAATGGCCGCTCTGTATTTTGAAACTAAACATGTTCACGTGTTTAAGTGCATACTTTAAGGAGCGGTGTCCTTAAAGAATCATATCTACTTTAAAAAAACGTACAATAAAGTTTCTTTTATATAAATAAATAAAAACTAGAAACTATGTAAATCGGAAAAGAATGTACTTAAAAGCTTCGGAACTTTTTGTAGAAGAGCATTAAATATGATTCTTTAAAAAGCTGTTTATCAGATTGCAGTACATGGCAGAAGTTAGTCTTAAGCTAACTTATCATCATCCTCTCACTCACTAGTAACTTTTACTTTGAGTGAAATGTAAATGACAGAAGTTAGTCTTAGGCTAACTCCTCTCACTCACTAGTATCTTTTACTTAGTGAAATGGGTAAAAGCTTGCTTATTTTCGAGCGCTACAAGTTAATAAAACTAAAATTTCTAGAATATCAGTTTAACATTTACAACGTTTTGCAGACACAATTGACATCTGATTAACCTTTGGCCTAATCCGATTTTAACTCTGCTTTACAGGCCTGCGGCAAGTATATGCCAGCCGCCAGCAATGCTCAAAATAGCCAAAACAATCAGCCAATGGAGGGCACCTACCTGGTGGAGGCATCCTTCTGAGCCAGCCGTGGAGTATGGTTAATGCTAATGAAGCTGAAGCTAATTTACGTTTACGTTTAGTCTAACTTGAAAAGTTTTTAAAAATGAAATTGTATTTGTTGTAGACAAGGAAATACCAAAGAAAGAAAACAAAAATGTAATCTACTATAAAAAAAAAGAAATCTCTAAAATTTGATTTTCGAGTTAAATGCAAAATAATTTCATTAAATTTTGCAAAAAACACCAAACACACAAAACATCTGAATGTGTAAAATGTAATAATATACTACACAAACACAATACATAAGCTGCACACGAGAATGGGTAAAAAAACATATACATAGAGCATATATAGGAATGATAGAAAAAACTACAGAATACAAACAGACTACACTTAATTGCGAAGCGGCAAAGTCGGATTTGATTAGCGAGGCCCTGTTAATAAATATTTAAAATAATAAATGCAACACTATTTACTTTATATAGGTGACAAGACGACAACAAAACCAAAATAACAACAACAACCGAAACAGACGCATTTTAGAGGAATTTACTGTGTATGTTTTTAAGCGGGCAATAAATACAAAATAATAGCATTGCAAATAGATTGATAAACAATTAATAAATTAAAGTAACAAATGTTAGGTACTCACTCAAGCAAGTTGCATTGGGTCCAAAAAACAAAAAAAAAAAACAAAGAAAGAAAAGTAATAATAAAAAAATAAGATAATAAAACAAACAATTAAAAACTAGCAAAAACAACCACAACAAATATCGTGAGCATACGATTTGTGTAATAGCAAAACCAAAAGAACTATTTAATTATTAAAAAAGAAATTCAAAACAAAAAGGAGAAATACAAACAAAATTTTACGTATTTTTTAAAAAGTCCGTAGTTTAGTGTGTATAATATTCAACTATCTTGTATTTTTTCTTCCAAGTCCCTCGGGACTAGCTGTTCATAATTTACTTACATGGGCCAGGCCAAGGGGAAAACTTTGTCCCGGCTCATTTTATGAGGACTAGTAGAATAATTAATTTCTTAGCCCATTGGAGTTTCGTGTATTGTATATTTTTGATATAGTCCAGAGGTTTCAGTTGTCATCCTTTTAAACACTCTAATGAACAAATCAAAATATTTCGAGAAAAAAAATTGAACATTTAAAGAAAACTTTCTTCCAAGAACTAAGTTAGCAACTATTTAACTGTGTATGTATGTGTGTTTAGGCGAGGCTTTAAATTGAAGCATTAAAACCAAAAAAACTCTTAGCAAATTCTAACAAACTCAAAGTAATATAATTAATTATAAATTAAACCAAATCAAACATTTAAAATTAGTTCAATATACTTAAAAAAAAAAAAGGAAAACAACACATTATTGAGCTTGTATGTATGTATAATAAATTTATTATGATTATTATTATTATTATTATTATTATAATTATGGTGTTGACTATTTAAATTGTATTTTTAGCATTTATTTCTAATACTTTAAGTTCTAATTTAATTTAGTACTGTTAAAAGCAACAAATTCAGCCTATCTAAAATCAACTTCAAATGAATTCAATGCAAAATATTTAATATGAATGATTTTAGTCAACAAAACTTAATATTAATAAACAACAAGTTTTGGCCACTAGAGCCAACTCCTGTAGCGATATTCTAAAAGAACAACAAACAAACCAAAAAAACTAAAAAAAAAAACTAATCTAAAGAATTTCCGTTTTGATTTTTAGTGATATTTAATTCGAATTCGACACCTTAACACTCTGCCATGGGTCTGTGTCTGAACAGAACACCAACAACAACAAGAACAAAGAAAAACTATATGAAAAAAACAAATTAATAATAAAATAAATAAAGAAATCTGTTTACTTCCACAACAACTAAAGGCGCGAGTCTTAAGTTTTTGTTGCTTTTTTTTATTAACGTAGAGACAACGCCTTGACAGATCGATCGAAATATGTACGTAGAAAACTTGAGAGCTGAAAGTAACGGAAATTCCCACCATACATCATCGGCTATATAAAACTAGCCAGAGATCTATACTTAATATGTATGCACATACACAGACATAAAAAGAATATATACATGTATATCTTATATACACGCAAATATATGTGTATATATATATGTACATATATATATAAGATAATACTCGTACAGCTGAGTGTTGTTTGTGTGTGAGGCAAGTGAGATCGATTGCGTGTTTTGTGTGTGATATAGTCGGGTCGTTCGGCTACGTCTACTTATTATACCCATGTATATACTTACTTACCTACATATTGAATATCAGCGGCTATAATTTGTTTTAGCCACACCGCACAGATGTTGTGCTTTATTACCGGGCTCACAATACAAATATGGCAAGATTCATTTGCATACTCTAAGCTTAGTCATATGCTTGCTCATAATTAACTACTAAAACTAAGCATATGTTTTAAATCCAGTCAGCTGTGAAGGCGAAAGTTGAGGCGTTGCAATTAATTTGGTTATTCTAAAATTTACAATATGAAAACTTGAACATGCAAAAATATGATTAATGTGATTACGCAAGATTCTCCTATCAGCAGCTGTTGAGAAAAGCTTTTGGCTTGGTAAGAGAAAAGAGAGCAATATTTATGAAATACTAATAAACACATAAAATTTTTTATATTTACAGATCTACAATAGTCAACAAATTGCAAATCTCGGAGCCTCGGAACAAAATTTTTTTGTGAATCGTAATTCCTAAAAATCTTACAAAATAAGGTTAGTTTTCTTTTCGATAATGGTCCTTATTTTTAAAATTTTATACGGTTTTAAAATAATTTATATTCGTTTTTCTGAAACCATTTTTCCTTTTCTTTAATTTTCTACGTGATATTCCCAGCAATATTTTCTGATTTTCTTTAATTTTAAGAAATATTTTATCCTCCAAGTTTCTTCTTGGTTTTTATGGCTACAAAACTAAAAAAAAATAGCTTATACACATATATTTTTTTGGACTTATTGTGTGATTTATTATTTGTACATTTTATAATTTTATAAATCATTTCAATCTTAAGAGTTAAAATGGATTAACCATGCATTTTGAGAGGGGCCTTTTTTAAATTTATATATTAATTTTATACGAAATACCTTTCTTTAATTTTCGTATTAACATTGGAGCTAATAGCTTTAGCACAACATTGTATGAAAACCTTGGCTTATATCGCGCCTCAATTTTAAAGTACGAATTATTTCGCGGTTTTCTTTTTCTCAGTCTTCCATGGTCATCACATCATCTTCCAGCTCTCGGCTAATGAGTTATTGTAGCAGCCGCCGCAGTTGGCAAGCTATATATGTATTTGCCATATCGATTTCAACAAATCAGGTGCTCATTAGCTACGTCATTGAATGCGCTTGGCAAAAAGAAACAAATAAATACTTAAATTGAAGTAATTTACAAGCAAAGGTCGTCGCAATGCCCTATTTCTTGTTGCTGTCTTGCTTTGTTAATGTTTACCAACCCAATCAAATATAGTATGCTATTTATATGCCCATTAAGTACAAATTTTGTAGTCGAAACCGACATAAATCAAGGCAAAGAGAGCAGCACGTAGCAGCTAAATAAGTAGAATGTCAAATTTACTCACTCGTTTGATATGTTGGTCGTAAAAAAGTGCTTGATATATGTTATGTTATGAAAGTTAATATTGTTGTGGCATAATATGAACTTGTTAAGTATACGCGCTGTGGTACGTCGAGCAGACACTAATATTAACTTCGGTAAGCTAGCTTTATGACGTTATTTATCACTCATACAGCTAGATAACCAAAGACAACATAGCACCCTGTATCCTGGCTGGTCGTTAGTTGTATTTCGCTTTAATATGCGGTTGAAGTCGCCGTTTTCTTTAGCTCAGCAATTGTCATCGTTTTATATATATGTTATTTTATCTTTTTTTGCGGCGGCTCTTTTGGCCTTCCAATTTCGCGCGCGCGAGTTTCGATTTTTAAGCATTCACTCGATTACTGGATTTCTTGTTTTCTCGACTCTACAACTTGTCGAGTTGGTAGCGCCCACACGACTGTGGAAACTGTTGGAGACTGTCGACTGGCGACTGTCGTCATCGTCGGCGGCCGTTTTTGCGCAGGCGTCGCCGTCGACTGGCATTGCATTGAGAAATGCTACGTGGAATTTTTATGCATTTTGCATAGACAAACAAACACTCTGGGGAGGGCGCAACAAATACTACAAGACAAAAAAAAATACAACAAAAAAGGTCAAAGTTGGTCGCGCGCGCGTTCGTCCAGAACTCGGCTTATGTGTATGCATTTGTATGGGTAGGGTGGACTGCAATGATTTTTTTTCTTATGTTTCGAAAAATATTCCCATAAATATGCACGCTACGGCGATCAACAATTATGCCCGCGACCAAAAACCGAACGTCTCAGCAGAAGCAGAGGCGTTTGTAGTATTTTTCGTCTTCTTATTCTTATTGTTTCGGTTGGTCAAGTGACTGTAACTGGAACGACAAGACGATCCGACGACAGAGTGGACTGAACTGAACCGAACTGTGCTCAGGTTGGGTGGTTGTTTGGGCTGCTTGCCTGCTTGGCTGCATTGGCATTATAGCGCCGGCAAAATGTGAGTAAGCCAAGTGAATGGCTGAGTGGCTGGCTGGCTGACTGGCCTTACCTATGTCTGTCTACTGCTCGCTAGACGAACGTTCCGTAACCGTAGGTTCCCACAATTATGCGCCTCGCTCGACTCGATTCGACTCCGCTCCACACTCCTCACACACACACACACACACACGCTCATTGTAATAATCGTTGAAACATAAAGCGGCGGAAAATGTTGAAAAGCCTGCAAAACGTACGAAACGGGCCTCTGAAATGTCTGAAATGTCTTACTTCACTTCTTTAATTTTTCCTTCTCCTACCCTCCACTCTGGTCAAATTGTGCAATGGATATGACGACAGTCGGCATAAGGTAAGTAGCAGCAACTACTTAAAACTTACTGCTCTACTGAAACAGTCCGGGAAGTCTATTGCCTAAGGTAATGCAATGGCAAAGGCTCTAAAGATAAATTTTGGCTAGTTTCTAGCTAAATTTCAGCTGTTCCCAAGGCCTAAAATAGCTATGTTGTCTATATGACTCTTAAAAAATATAAATTATAAATAATAATTTATAATACTACCAATTTGCTTAAGGTGTGGTCCGCTTTCGCTCTGGCAACTTTTACTTTAGCTTCTTTTTCAGTGGAAGTAAGGTAATTCCCAGTGGATAGCTCTACAATTCTCCTACTCGTTGATCTCAATGACCTTCCTATAAGCAATAATTGTTGAAGTCCCCTTAACCGGATTTTAAAATAAAATCTCCTTGAATTGAAGGTTGAAGTTTTCTTTCTAAAACTCTCTAAAAGCCCGTATGAACTCAAGGTTTTAACGCAGATTTTTAAATTGTGGAAAATGTGCACTCTATAGATTTTGTATGGCCAGAGCTTGATCTGGAAACATCTAGAGGTGAAACACCCATTAGCTGGAAATATAAATATATATACATACAAAAAAGATTTTCACTTTTAAGCTTAACTAGACAAGTTTTGTTGGGTTAACTATCTGCAATTATTTTGTTAAAATAAAGGTTTTTCTACCTGAGCTCTGGCCTGTTCTGTTTGTTCTGCGAGCATCTTTAATGGTCTTGCACAATCTACCTTGAATTTGCTTATAATTCACCACTTTGATATTCTACAAACAAGCCGCACCTAGTCTAGCACATGGCCGAGTCGCTGCCAGTCTCTAAATCGTTCTTAATATGCCGACAGATGACGCAGATCTTTAGTCTGAGCGCACTTTATGCCAAATGAATAGATACTCAGTTAAGAGTTCACGCCGGAGACTGACCGCAAGATAAATACATACATATGTATGTAGGCAGTTCCAGGAATATAAATCACTCATCATGATGTTGCGATATATCATACCATATACGACTATATACTACAAGATATATATATATATATACATATACATACGTATGCAAATGTGTGGACTCGAGATGCCGCAACTGATTAGGCCGTACGTTGTAGAGGCCTACCTAGCAATAACGCGACGATTCTCAATTTCCAATTCCCCAATGGCCGATTGCCGATATAAGACGATGCCGAAGAACGAATGCCGACTGCCGATTGCCCTAGAACACGTTTAATACGACGACACGAGCAGAACAAAAAAAAAATTGCCTATGCATAGGCGATGAGGTCGTTGATGATGATGATGATGTTGGCGGCGGCGGCGGCGGCGATGATGACGATAACGAGAGATTTGAAAATTCTGGAAACGTGTATGGATCATTTCGTAGCCGGATGTACGTACACGTTGTATAGGAATTTCGACTCGCATATATTTAACAGCTGTGAATGCAAATGACATACCTGAAGAACCTCTCGGCGCCAATCCAGTCAATTATGGCAGCTGCTGGTTGCTCTGGAAACTTTTGACCGTTAGAGTTGCTCGATCTTTAATACTTATATCATCAATCATAGCTGCAACTAGACGAGTATGTGAATCGCTGGATATATAGTATTATTATTGTGTGTTGACACACGTTTTGGTAACTGCACTTGAACTGCGAAACACTTGCGAAACCTTCTCAACGGTTTATTATTATTATCTTCTTTATTTTCGTGTGTGTGTGAGAGAGAGAGACAGAAAAATTTCGTTGTTGACACAGACAACAGACCCTAAACTAAGTAATGTTAATGGTTCTGGTTCCATATAAG